CGGTGTGCAGCCGGGCTGGGGTGGGTCGGGGTAGGGTAAAGGGGAGGAAACTCCGGTGGGCGCCACCTGTCACCATCGACCGAAAGAGGCTCGGTGTGTTAAAGTGTCATGAGCCGGGGGCTCACCCCCAAGGGCAAGGCCGTACAGGAGGCCATCAAGCGAGTCCATTATGAGTAGCCAGGGGAGGGAGCCCCATTGGGGGTCGAAGGGCAACCATAAGGGCGACCGGCCATGAAGGGCCGACCAAGAGATCGCGAGGCCCATCGAGGGGAGTCACGTGGTGGCGCACAGCGTGAGGTCGGTGGTGGTCATAAGAGGGACAGGGTGGAAGTCTCATGGGGGCGGGGGATGGGGAGGACCCGGGGAGGACATCGGGGTAAACCAGCCTGCGGTTAAGGCATAGCGAGACGTAGAACAGCAGGAGTACTGGCCGCTGCGCCGGGCCGGGGCCCGCGGCGGCGAGGGGCGGGGGGCTGGGGCGCCCGCCGCGGTGGAGGGGACTGCTCTCCTATATAAAACCAGTGTTTCGGCGCGCGCCGGCTACAGAGTACGGACAGACACGCTAGTGACAGGCCATTGACGGCAGTGACACGCTAGTGACGCAGTAGTGAAACAATAGTGACATAACGGGGGTAGTGAAGTGTGCCAAGTGACCAGTGTCCGTGTTGCCCCGCAGAACCCGCAGCCATGTGGTACCTCAGGAATGGACGCACGGTCTTCGACCGGGCTGAGGTAAGTGAGTGACAGGTCAACAAGACCGGTCAGCACGACAGGATAGTGAAAGGTTAAAGGCTAACCCTTAGATTTGCTCCTTCAGCAAAATTTGAAAGACAACCCACAAAAACATGGTTCCGACAGGTGAAAGATGTTTCGTCACAAACTGTACGTTTGTCGTCAGAATCCGACCTTCCCTTCCAGACATAAACCTTGAATCCGTTATTCGGTCTTCCCTCTTGTTACGTTTTCACGCGAGGCCCGCGTGCTTGCAAATGGGCTGTCCTGGAGAAAATGAATCCTCCAGAGCAGGCCGTGAAGGTCGTAGGGCAGAACCACACGGGCACACAAGGGCACACCGACTCGCGCACACACACGCATGCACGCACACACGCACACACACACAGACGCACACAGAGTGACGCCCGGCTCCAAACACACGCCTAGGCACGGGTATGCGCTGCTCGCGGTACCTTCTAGAAGCAGGCCGTGGCGTGGCCCGCCTGCCCGGTCCCGCCCGGTCCCCGGCCGGTCCGGTCGGGCAGTGCAGCGGAGAGCGCAGTCTGATCTCAATAAGGTACACCGCCGGATCTCGAAACGGAAGGAAGAAGTCGCCAAGAAGCACTTCTAGAATGGCGACGAAAAGGGGAGGGGGGGGGCAATAGTTTCAGTTCTGCCTCCCCACCCTATTGCTAGCTAGCTAGCTAGCTTTGGTTTCACTGATAGATGAAGGGTTCAAATGGCGTGCACATGCAAGTGCTTAACACTATGTTGCACACTTTTAAGTGTTTGACTTGATATTTGAATACTATAAAGTGTTCAACAGTAAATGTGAACAAAGTGTCATGACCAACCCTGGAGTTGAACACTTTTAAGTGTTCAACTTTACTGTTACACTTTATCGTACTCAAATGTTCTGTCAAACACATGAAAGTGTTAAACATAGTGTTGATCACATGCATCTGCACGCCAGTGGAACACTTTATTTTTTAGTGTTGAGACTACTTGTATCGACTTGTTTCCGTTTCGAGATTCGGCGCGGAGTACCCTATCCTCAAGGAAGTACATATAGCGTCATATTGGGCCGGGCCGAATATCGACCTCTGGCCTGTGTAGCTGGTTAGTCAGCGAGCATGACTGGGTACACACGACGATGGTGTGCGGCCTTTACGAACGACGGAACGGGTGATGCACCTGTGGCATCTGACAGCCGGTCTCACTCACTCTCTCCGTCTCTGTCTGTCCGTTTGTCTCTATCTGCGGCGCCAACTCCAGATCATTCAGAGGTCGATAGGATGAAGAGAGAGGGAGCGAGGAAAGGAGAGAGGGAACCAGGTGGAGTGGGGAGAGTGCACGAGAAAGGGGGGAGGGGGGGAGGGCAGAGATGTCTAGCCGTGTGTTTAGCGGCGCGTTTTTGCAGAGGTTCACACCACGCCCTGCTGACGCCGCGGCACACCACACCAGCCCCAAGCCCAGGGCGCGATGGGGCGCACGAAGAGCGAGACAGAAAGAGAGATAGAGAGAGAGAGAGAGAGGCGCGAGACGCGAACCCCCCGCAGCCGCGCCTCGCCGCCCCGCGCCCCGCGCCCCGTGTATCCTGACGTACTCAACCACTTTAGGGATTTAGATTTGGCGGGCAGAGGAGACAGTGGCGCTGGCGGTGTACAGTAGAAACGACGTGACGCACTGCCCCTCACTTCCCCGCCGCCCCTGCTCCCCCCACTCTCCTCCCCCGCCGCTTCCCGGGACCGAGACGGGAAACTACTGCTTACTGTATTAGCAACTATTGGCGCGCCGCAAATAAGGCTCAACTTGTAGCGCGCAGGAGAGGAGTGTGTGACTCTGTCAGCCACTTCCATCTGCATAACCTAGATGCCGCGAGTGGGGTGTGGCGGGGTGTGGCGGGGTGTGGCGCGGTGGGGTGGGGTGGGGCGCGGCCCGCCGTCGCCCGCCGCCGTGGCGTGCTGAACTTGAATTGCGCGGCATTCCGCGACCGACACGCCAGTTCTGCGGTTCTGCGTCAGAGACACGCGCGTGACGAAAGACGAAGATGGAGAGAAAGAGAGATGTGGAGAAAGGAGGGGAAAGAGAAAGAGAGGCCAGCGGGAGTCGCGCATGAGAGAAAGGCAGAGGGCAGTAGTAAAGAGAGACGGAAGGGGTGGAAAAGGTGTGTGTGGGGGGG